AACTATTTTTCTAATGTGGATAATACAACCAAAAAAAAAAAAAAAAAAGAAATAGTATTAAAGTGTAATATAAAAATACGAAGTAACACGAGGAGATTAAAAAAATTGTCAGTTTACTTTCATATTTAAAGATGTTACATCTTTCGATTGAATTACTTGAACCTTTTGAGCATTTTTATTTGCTGTCTCAATTCCTAGAAGTATTATGTTTTCAACATATTTATTACAAATAATAAACGATACCCAGATTTATCGTGCAATTAGACGTAATTTATGCAATTGCGTCATTTTTCTTTACTTGTTAATAAAATCTTATTAATAGATCTAATATTGTAGTTTGGCATAAGAAGTCTACTAAAAAGTCTAATATTTTATATCTACGTCAAGCATGTAATAGCGCGTGTGAACAGCTTAATGCAAGGAAAGATGTTTTATTATTCAAATATTCTGCTCGTTCGAATGTTAAAGTATTAACGAAATGCTGTTTGTTGCAAATTACTTAAAATACGATACGAGCAATCGACAATGAATCGCGACGTGAATCTTATTCGACGTTCTACTCACATGCAGCCTCTAGGGACGTTTATGTTCAAGCCATCTAAAATAGTGACTCCAGCGCCGTATCCTTTCTTCGCATTCCGCACCATGACCGCATTTTCCATCGCCATTCTGCGTGATTCCAATTTCAACTATGATTTTCAATCTGGAACTAGGATTTTTCAATTACAAGTACGGTATGCGTATAGTCACGAACATGTAATATATGTTTCAAAGATATCAACCCTCAGCATCGTTGCATCACAGATAACTGCAGCAATTTATATTTTGACTGTAACTATAGCGATCGAATGGGTGTCTGGAAAACGGACGTACGTTACATTTTATAAAATTAAAAAAAAAAAAACGAGAAAATAGAGAAACAATTTGTTGCTCAATACAGCAATTGAACAGCAGCTCGTGTAACATACATAGGGTGTTTGAACAGTTCGAAATTCTTGCAAATAAAATAGAGTTCAAATTTTTAATTTAATTGTAACATGTACAGTTAATAGAATAGCTATTATCAACGAAATAATAATAATAATAATATAAAAAAGAAATAATTGAAAGTGGTTGATTAATCTTGCAGAGACATATTATTGCTAAGTGGCTCTCAGTGTGTCTGTTCAATGTTGAAAAGAATTGAAATACGCGTTTTTGGTTATACTCATTGAAAATTAATTTAATTCGAACAAATTCTCTTCTCCTAAGCACTCATTCGATTACGTTACATTATGTTAAGTAAAATTGAAGTATTTAATTTTATGTTGTATCTTACATTCTTCGTAATTAGAATAATAAAGAAGATCGAATTAAATAAAAAATTTGAAGATTATGTAATTTAATCATAAATTATCATAATAATCAACGGGCCAATAATAACAGTTGAGAGTTAATATTTATTAATATTAAACTAATATCAGATTATTATTTTCTCATATTTAAGTTGTGCAATAATTGATAACTTTACTACGTTGTTATAAAATCAGCAATATGAAAATTTTAATTAATTATATTTATATTTTATACTTATTGTATAACATTGTTGAACCTCTTTCGATTAAAAGAATTTATTGCAATTATTTCGTACAACGTCGTTGTATGCTGATTTTTTCCCCTTTCTTTATTATTTTAAACATTTAGCAGTGTTCACAGTATGAATACTGAATTATCGTCAACTAGCAAAAGTCAGTAAGTAACAATTGTACATAAAGTACTGTATATAAAACTTGTAAAATCTTATTTGTATGAACCAGTTAATGTTGAATAAAAATTATAATCAATCAATTTCTATCATAATTATATATATATATAAATCTATCATCCTTGTTATTATTTCTTATTACCTACAAATAAAAAGAAATTTTTTTTGAAATTTCCAAGAACTATCCTTCCAAGAAGGAGACTGAGTAAAAAGCGAGAACATGTAAATTAAATGTAAAAAAATAGTAAAATATAAGCATATACGACTGTGATTACCCAGCCAAAGTCAAATAATCTTACATACATGAATGTGAAACGAGAATTATTATGCGATTTAAAAAACTGAAAAGTGTAAAACTGACCAAAAGAGAAATCTACGAAACGAAATAAATTTTAATATTATAACTATTAATATTAATCTATAATATTTTTCAATACTACAGTTTTTAATATTAATTTAATTTCTAATGTTGTAACTAGACTATTCATCGTTTTCCTACAAATTCATATTTTACTCATCAAATTATTAGATAATTAATTAGTTTTTTGCAATGTAGTATATATCATATAAATCAAATGATATATTCAAAATTATATGATTCCATTTAAAAAAAAAAAAAAAAAAAAAACGAAATTGATCTTCGTATCTTCTCCGCCATTCGACGCACAAAAAGATGAATTACATCACAGGATGTTTCACTTTCGAATTAAACAACTTTTTTGTTAGAACAGTTTCTTTGTTAACTTTAATCTTTCGGGAGATATTCTACCGTTTCTAATTTAAAGGAACACTCTGTATACCTGTTCGCGATACGGAGCTCCAGTCCACGTGCTTTTACTCTCAATCTTTCGCTCTCGATTTTCACTTTTGCAGTTGATTAAACTCACCTGTCGTCGCTCATACACCTTATTCACACCTTTTCGTCTTTCCTTTGATCACTCACTCTCTGTATATAAGAATATATATCGCACCTTGGATATTTTATATATTTTTTTACATAATCTTTATATTTTCTATGTTTATATTTTATTATATTTATTCTTTTCTGTAGTTATATTTTATTGTATTTATATTTTATGTTAGAGACTGATTTCACGAAAATGGCAATCTTCTCGATTCGACGGTTCAGGAGTAAATACCGAACGGTTAAAGACAGTCCCCTTACTGGAAAATCTATCGTTCTTCCCCCACTGCGTGGCCAACTCCTCTTGTCATTTACAATATTTTCTACGAAGATAAAGCCAGTTACCTGCAAACTGAATTGTCTGCAGCTGTTTCTCTAACAATTCGTCGGAATTGTTAGAGAAGTGGATAATTGCACTTTAAAATTTTCGGAAAACCCCCAAGGAATCGTTGTAAAGAAAAAAGTGTCGATTTTCAAGACCGTGGTAAATCATAAGAAAAATCTTTTACTGTTTTAAAAGTAACTCTTACTTTGTGAGACTTTGTATTTTACATCTACATGAAGTAAAAATATTTTTAAAAATAAACGAACTTAGGACAGTCAAAGTAGAAGCTTTACGCTTTAAAATGAGACTGTAGGATTTTCTTTTACGATGTTACAACAGTTCAAAAGTATGAAATTTTTGTAAAAATCATTCTTAGAAAAACAAATGCATTGTTGTTCATTGCATCAGTATAGATACACGCTGGATCATCGAACACATAATCCACAGGAGGACATGGATGATTTGTGGGAACTGATGGGATTAACAGCAGGACAAGCAAGTGTCAAAAAAATCCAGATTACCATGGAAAATCCCTTTGCGAAAAACATCCCCAAATACCGAAACCAAAAGAAATCCAGGAAAATCTGGACGAATGGTAGCCTTATCTTTTAGAAAGTCTGGGTTTATGAAATGCCCAGCCATTGGGGAACGAAACAGAGAATGTTACGTTCCATTGTGACGAGAAGTTAATTAGTATTGCATGCCATAAATCAAGCTATGAAAAACTTCATGTCTGATTCCATGTAGCGGAACAAGAATCGAATGACAGATAATTAATGAGTATCGTTGAAATAATTAATTTTTATATATAATTAAAATTCAACGTGTGATAAACTAGCATGAAATTGCAAAGGAATGAAGAACTCTTGTAATTATATATTTGTTAAATGTTTAACAGTTAGATAAATATTGAATGTAACTCGAAGCATTTGTGCAGCAATACATCGTACATTATGGAATGTGTAAGATTTATTTCTATTTTAATTCAATTTTAAATTCATCAACTTTACAGAGACAACATGTAGGAATGGAGATGAAGTATATTTTGAAGCAAGCATACTTTAATTACATTTTAAGCACATTTTAATAACGTGTGAAAAGATTACTAATCTCTTTTACTAATTCTATCGTTTGAAAGCAGAATGTTTCGAAAGAAGATAGATTTAGAAATACGTTGTCAATTATTGCAGATTTTCGACCTCCGTTTCCTTTTCTGAATTATTAAGAGAAATATCAAAAGAGGTAGAAGACAGGAACTTTCAGTTGTAGTTGAAAAAAGATTTTGATAAATTTTTGATTTTTCAGAGTGATTAGAGAACGATGAGAAACAAAATTCCATAACGATCAGTGAGTTATTTTTCTTTCGTTTCGAAATGAGTTTCGAAATATCGTTGTCGAAGCATCAAAAGCTCATATTTTTGAAGATATTGCAATTAAATATTACTATCTTAAAATCCTTTTAAAAGTCAAATCTAAAACGAAAATTCCTTT